TATTGCGTGCGCCCTAGTTTTAGTATTTTTGCGTCTCACTTTTGAAACCCTCCGTACCCTCCTTTTTCCACCACCTGCCCTCCTTGCATACTGTGACCGAGGTAATTTGTAAAGTAGCCATTTTTGCGTTCGGGAACCTTCCTTCCTGTGATCCCCTCACTCCTCCCGCCGCTAGCCCTGTCAGTCACGTAGAGAAAACAAACGGGGACCTTTCGGGGTCACTCGTCGGTGCTACGCCGTACAAGTAGCTTGCGCCCATAGATACCCTCTCCATCCCCGAAACCCCCTTTTGCTCCACCGAGTCCTTTTAAATTCTCCCGAGGGCGCGTGCGCCCGCGCGAGCCAACACGTGATAGAGCGTGCACAAATCTGCCGCCATATTTTCCTTTCTTTTCTTTGCTTTTCTTTTATGTTCCTGTTAGCTTTTGGGTTTATATTTATTACTAACCGTTTTGCTTTATACTACGACTGTAGTACTTTCTTAATTATACTTCCTTTTCTTTATTCTATACCGTGTTCCCTTTTCTGTTCGAGATCCCCCTTGCCCTGTATTTGCGATAGCTAATTCGAGCAGACCCTGGGCCGACAAAATCTGCCCAGTACGTCACAAGCTTTACACGATGCTCTCGGCACTCGTGATGTTCGTCAAACCAGTCAGAATGCAGCTGGCTAGTTTCCTGTATAATCGCTCCTGCAAGATTATTCAAGATGCCGTTGCACACCCAGTGTTTCTTCCACAATCGACCGAAAGCTTCAAGTTGAACGCCCACTATACTTTCAAACTTTTCAGTTGGTCGACTAAGCCATGTCACCGTTGGAGCTTTTTCATTTTGATGTTCGTACTCCCGAAATTCGGTGTACATCTCAGTAGAAGAACGTTCGTCCATTGGTGTTTTCAATATGTCGTTGCGACAATTGTCGCACGGATACTTGCGCATTTGGCGCTGAGCTACGTATCCTGCGAAAAAGTTGACAGCATTCTGCTCGTAAACAGATCACGTACTTTGATGAAGTTCCTTGGATTCCATCACTGTTTCGACCTCTTCACTTTCATACTGCAATATCTCTGCAGCCTCTTGGACCTCGATCATTTCATCGTCTCTGTCATGTTCGAGGGTTTTCAAACATTCCCTCTGATCGGTCGAACGCTCTGGCTACCACCGTGCTTGGCTGAATCAAAACAGCAGCTTCGGGACATTCTACGTTCCCTCTGCTACAACCCCCGATGTATCCAGTGGAGAGTATATGTCTCAATGACTATCGAACCATTCTCGCTGTCGGATTCGGATTGTGGCCTCCGCGTTGTCGCAGTTTGGCGAACAAATGCTCGACCGAATCCTGATTACATAAGGCTGATACATAAGGCTGCAGCAGATATGACTCCAATATCGCGTTTACCGAAAGCGGTAGACCTTTTATGCAAGGAACTTTCTTCATTTCTTTTTCCCTAGTATCAGTAACAGTCCAAAGCTAATTCGAAATGGGGCTGTTTGTTTTTTACCGTTCGATACGACTCCAATATCGCATTTACCGAAAGCGGTAGACCTTTTATGCAAGGAACTTTCTTCATTTCTTTTTTTCTAGTATCAGTAACAGTCCAGTCGGCAGACCAGTGAACGAATTCGCGAAGGATTTTTTCAATCTCCGGATTTCTGTCAGCAAGGGGACGTTTCGTTGGATTTCCGCTGAAAAGCCTGTACGCGTTGCATGCGTCTATGACTTTATTCATACGTTCCGCGAAAGCAGCGGTGACTTGCCATGTATTACTCTTCAACCCTTTCGGATCATTACCGGTGG